ATGTATGTCTATTTACTACAATGAAAAAAGAAAGGATAACAAAAACAAAGGGAAAAGATAAGCTTCAGACCAGGAGAAGATATTAGTTAAGATTTTTTTTTTTTTTAGTTAAAGTATTTATTGTTTATTTATTTATCTTGGCTGGGCCAGGTCTTAGTTGTGGCACGTGGGATCTACTTCCCTGACCAGGGATGGAACCCGGGCCCCCTACGTTGGGAGCGCAGAGTCTTATTCACTGGACCAGCAGGGAAGTCCCTTGGTTAAGTTTTTATATCTGTCTTCATTTAGTATCCTGACTGGAAGCATGAGGTTTCTGGATCAGAGAAGAGATCGATGATTTGCTGACATTGTCAGTCTTACTGCCAACACCCAGCGGGCAACACGCCGAGGGCAGATGGGCCCGGGAGGGGCTGGTACCACAGGGAGGAGCTGGAGATCCAGGGCTCTCAGAGCTGTAGATGCCAATGGCTCACCCATCTCTCCTTCCCACTCTGGACACGGAGGGAGAGACCTTTGCTCTCTGACCTAAAGCATTCCACTCTGGGGAGAGGAGAGGATGCTCTCTGGGATTTTACAACCACTTGGAATGTAAACAAATGGCTCTGGGCTTATCACCTTTAGAAAATGAAGAGAAAATGAATCTGGGGAGAAGGGAGCCTTTTCTACCCTCATAACATGTTGCTCAGAAAGGTCCAGACACTGCAGGGAACCCTGAAAAATCCAGGGAGCAGTGTCTTCCAACAATATCGGCAGTATATAGAGTCGAAGAGAATCCCTGTGCAGAATATGGAGGAGCTTCCCCAGGGGCTCAGTGGTAAACAACCCGCCTGTTAATGCAGGAGACGAGGGTTCCATCCCTGATCTGGGACCATCCCCTGGAGAAGGAATGGCAACCCACCCCAGTATTCTTGCTTGGGGAATCCCGTGGACAGAGGAACCTGGTGGGCCACAGTCTATGGGGTCACAGAAGAGTCAGACACAACTCATCAACGGAGCACACACATACACACGGAATGTTGAAGTCAGTCCTGCAAATGAACAAGGAGAAGGGAAGCAATCCTATTTAAAAATGTATAAAACAATGTAAATATGCAGTTTCAAGAAGAAGAATCCCAAATAGCCAATAAGCCTATGAAGACATTGTCTGAATTACTAGCAATTAGGAAAATGCAAATTAAAATGGGCACCAGCCACATGTTGATATCTTCCCCCAAATTAAAGAAAAACACTAAGCAAAACGTTGTGTGGTCAAGTTGTAGGAATCTGTGAAAAGAGTGAAAGTGTGGTCCCACTCATATGAAAGGTCCAGACCAGTCAAATCTACAGGGAGGGAAAGCAGGTCAGTGATTGCCTAGGCCTGGGGAGATGGGGAGGAGGGAGGTATGGGGGGACAGCTAAAAGGAACCGGATTTCTTTCTGGGGTAATAAAAATATTTCACAGGTTTTTTATTATTATTGTTGTTGCTGTTGTTGTTGTTTGGCTATGCTATAAGGCTTGTGGGATCTTAGTTCCCTGACCAGGGATGGAACCTGTGACCCCTGCAGTGGAAGTGCAGAGTCCTAACCACTTGACTGCCAGAAAAACCCCCCAAATATTTTACAATTGACTGTGATGATGGATGCACAGCTCTGTGAATAAACTCATTGAATAAAGCCATTTAATTGCACACGTTAAATGGATGATTTGTATGGTCTCTGAATATATATGCCGATGAGGCTGTTTTTAAAGAGGGAGGAAGATTCCATTTTCTTCCAACTAGATGGGCAGAAACTGTAAAGTCTGACTATTCAAAGTGTTGGTAAAGATGTGGAGAGATAGGAGGCCTCCCCTCTGCTGGTAGAAGCATAAGCTGGTTCACTTTGGAAAGAAAGTTATGCCATTCTGTGTCCCAGCAACTCTGCTTCTAGGTAATGAATCTAGGACTTGTGCATGAGGGGACTTCACAAATATGTTCATGGCATCCTCATTTGCAAGAGTGAAAATTGTAATCGACTTCAATGCCCTTGGCCAGGAGAGTGGGTAAATAATTGCTTTTAATTCATGCAATTGAATACTGTACAGCAGATTAAATGAATGAACCAGAGTTACACATGTCAACATGGATATATCTCATAAACATAATATTCGGTGAAATAAAGTTTTTTAAGAAACTACATACAGTGGCATGCATTTATACAAAGCCAAGCAAAAGATAACATACTTGTGTTATCATTAACAACTGAAGTCATAGGGTAAAATATGCAGGGGAATGACAACTAGCAAAGTCATGGTCCTAGCTCTGGAAGAAAGAAGAGGAAAGGGATTGGTAGCGAATACTCAGGGAATACCAACTCTACCTGGGCATTGGTTTCTTTTGAAAACATTTCATGTCAATATTTGATAAAGCTAGTATCTACATATTAGCAAAATCATCTGCACTTTTCAGTACATTTGAAATATCTCTCAATATTAAAGAAAAAGGTGAGTGCAGTTTTATGTTGGTGGGCTGTAGGCATCTGTGGACAGAGTGAACGTTTGCTGTCTAGGGGAAGTCTGTGCTGGGGAGGTTGCCCCCTAAGCCTCCAAGCCAGCCCCTTCATCCAGCTGGGGAGGGGGCGGTGGAGTGTGTGGGGGCAATACCAGCTCCATCTCCACCATCCTCCCCTCGCCAAGGCCGGGGGGTGGGGGGTAGGGAGAGGCAGGGGGTGCAGGGAGGGGCAGGAGGGTGGGGAGAGGGGCTGGTGGGCAGTAGATGTTAGCAGACCCATGTTTGTCCCTGTTCTTGCTTTCGGGCCAGTATAGCCCAGGCAGGGCTCCTCCTGCGGTAACTGTCTCCTGTTCCTGGAGGCTGGGGGTTGAAGTTTTAGGTTTGGGAAGGTCCTAGACTCAGCAGTACACCTAGTTACTAAGAAACTGTGCCCTAGAGCCTCAGCTGTCCCTTAGTTTATAGCGTGACCGGCTGGAAGGCTTCAAAATGAGTCTGCTCCGATGGCTCCGGCATTCCATGAACATTGAGAAGTCACTGCTGGTTATCAGCGTTGCCTTGACAACCACTGGGCACATGAATAACTTGGCAGAGGTGAAGGGTCATGTCAGACACTGATAAATGTACACAGTAAAATTTCCTGTGTGCGTGGACTCTGTTCTTGAGATGCATGGATGGTTGGTTTGAAAGGTAGTTTCTTTTCACTCAAGTGACCTCCTACTAATTTTATTCTCTTTTTCAGTCTATTGCATTGCTTAGCAGACCATTTTACCTGGTAGTACTCTTTGAAGGAGCATGTCTTTTAACTCTAAGTACAATTGGAGATAAAACCACTTCCCTAGTGTGTATAGGCTTTAAACAACCAAATCATCATTATCATCCCAATACTGTGCTAACATGAGCATGGTTTGCAAATTAGACTCTAAAGAGGCAGAATAATTAAACTCAGAATAATTAAAAAGTGAAAGTGAAAGTCGATCAGTCATGTCCGACTCTTTGCAACCCCATGGACTATACAGTCCTGGAATTCTCCAGGCCAGAATACTAGAGTGGGTAGCCTTTACCTTCTCCAGGGAATCTTCCCAACCCAGGGATCAAACTCAGGCCTCCTGTATTGCAGGATGATTCTTTACCAGCTGAGCCACAAGGGAAGCCCCAGAATAACTAAAGGCTCAGATAATTAAGCTCCCAGAAAGGTGTTGAGGGCAGCAATGGATGGGCTCCATGTCTGATTGTTCGAGATATGCAGTGTCCACGAGTGGCTGTCCCGGCTGGCTCCCTGATATTCAAAGTGTGGTCTCTGGACCACCAGCAGCAATTAAGAGTTTACTAGAAATCCAGAGGCTCAGCCCCCTCCCAGGCCTATTGGATCAGAGTCTGCATTTTTAGTACGATCTCTGGGTCATTTTTCTGAGTGTTAAGTTCTGAGAAATACCCCATCTTATAACCTGAGGAGCCTGCCTTCTGAAAAGACACTGGTATTGTAAGAAATAAAGCTTTCAGAAGAGGACACTCCTAGGACAGTGTAGGAAGAAAAGCTATTCTATTTCTTAAGGGGTTTTTTGGTTTGCTTTTTTTTTCTTTTACTGTGGACCATTTCAAAAGTCTTTATTGAATTTGTCACAACACTGCTTCTGCTATTTATGTTCTGATTTTTTGGCCATGAGGCACATGGGGTCTTAGCTCCCAGACCACATATTGAACCCACGCCCCCTGCATTGGAAGGTGAAGTCCTAAACACTGGTCAACCTGGCAAGTCCCAGAGCTGTCCTAAAAGCCACGCAAGCCAAAGTTCTCCAGGCTCTCCTCAAGCTTTGGGTGGCTATTTATATATTTTGTACAAAGTTGTTACTCCCTTTCCCCTCCACTGAGAATATGAAAAAATGTTAGTCACTCAGTCGTGTACGACTCTTTGCAACCCCGTGGACTATGGCCTGCCAGGCTCCTCTGTTCATGGGATTTCCCAGTCGAGGATGCTGGAGTGGGTTGCAATTTCCTTCTCCAGGAGACTTCCTGACCCTGGAATCGAACCCAGGTCTTCTGCATGGCAGGCAGATTCTTTACCGTCTGAGCCACCAGGGAAAGCCCCTGAGAATATGAAGCTGATTCCAAAAAATAGCCGGAAAAAGGGTGAGAGAGGAAGGATTAAACATAATGTGAAAGTCTCACATCCTTGTTTTTTTATAGTTTTACTTATATATTTGTGGCTGTGCTGGATCTTTGTTGCTGCGCCCGAGCTTTCCCTGGTCGCAGGGCACAGGCTTCCAATTGCGCTGGCTCCTCTTTGGCAGGGCATAGGCGCTAGGGCACGCGGGCTTCAGCAGTTACGGCACTTTGGCTTCGTTGCTCCGCGGCATGTGGGCTATCCCTGGGCCTGAGATCAAACCCGTGTCTCCTGCGTTGGCAGGCGAATTCTTAACCACTGAGCCACCAGGGAAGCCCCCGAGTTCTTACTGAAGCGTCTTCTTACGTGATGTCCGTCACGACCGTGATCCTCACCGTGCCTCAGCTTCCCCGACTTCAAGAATAGCCCAGTCATTCCCCAGGGCCTTCCTGGGACTCATAGGCCAGTGTTGAAGGCCTCTGTGGTCCCCGATGAGAGGCGTGGCCCCAGCCGGAAGCATCACTGGGGACTTTGCGGCCTGCGCCTCTCTCAGCAGCCTCCTTGCCCTCTGGCCCGGACTGCCCGCTTTTATCTCTGTCCCTGGCTTGTCTGGGAAAAGACGGGCAGGCCACAGGGGTGGGGCGAGGGGGATAAAGCAGCTTCCAGCGTGGATGAGTCAGAAGAAGCTTCATCTGTGGCTGGCAGATCCTTGTTACTCACAGACCCGTGGGTGAAAGGAGCAGGAATTTTCCCCTGTGCTTCCGTGATGAGAGGGGGCCCACGGCCTCTGGGCCCCAGCCCCCGGGGGGTGGGGCAGATACACAGTGACATGGTCAGGCAGCAGATTGGTCTTCACACATCTGACAACACACAGCGATGGAGGTGAATAAATGGCCATGGCTCGCAAAGTGGGTTTTAGACACGAGCATGCAATGAAAGGTCCGTACATCAGGGGCTATCATAGAAACTCCTGGAAGAAGTGATTGCAAACAGGCAGCTCCCAGAGCAAAACATATCCCAGGTGTGCCTGGCTTCAGAGAATTCGGTATATGTAATCTAAGCATCTCAGATTAGTGAGGGGGAGGCGGTGTGATGCCTGACGCCATTCAAGAGACTGCTTTACAGCAGGACTCACCCATGGCTCTTTTGTCAACTGTAGAGAACATGCAGTAACATAAACCAGCGGCATGAAGTCCCTTCGCATTGCTGCCACCGTCACCACCATCCATCTCCAGAGCTTTTCCATCTTCCCAACTGAAACTTGTGGCTTCCCAGGTGGCTCAGTGATAGAGACTCCACCTGCAATGCAGGAGACCCGGGTTCGATCCCTGGGTCTGGAAGATTCCCTTGGAGAAGGAAATGGCAACCCACTCCAGTATTCTTGCCGGGAAAATCCCATGGACAGAGGAGTCCGGCGGACTACAGTCCATGGGGTCACAAAGAGTCAGACATGTCTTAGCGACTGAACAGCAACAACAACAAACTGAACCTCTGTCCGCATTAATCACAAACTCCATCCCTCCCTCCCCCAGCTTCTAGCGACCTCCCTTCTTCTTTCTTCCTATGAATCTGACGACGCAAAAAACTCATACCTGTGGAATCATACAGTATTTGTCCTTCTGCGACCAGCTTATTTCTCTGAGTATAATATCCTCAGGGTTCAGCCATGTTGTAACACGTGTCAGAATTTCGTTCCTCTTTAAGGCCAAATAATATTATATTCCTTTATGTGAATAGACCACAACTTGCTTATCCATTCGCCCGTTGGTGGACACGTGCGTTGTTTCCACCTTTCGACTCTTGAGAATAATGCTACTGGGAACATGAGTGGGCTTCCCTGGTGGCTCAGTGGTAAAGAACTCACCTGCCAGTGCAGGAGAGGCAGGTTCGATCCTTGGGTCAAGAAGATCCCTTGGAGAAGGAAATGGCAACCCCCTCCAGGATTCTTGCCTAGAGAATCCCATGGACGGAGGAGCCTGGTGGGCTACAGTCCACGGGGTCTCAAAAGAGTCGCACGACTGAGTGACTAAATAACAACAGAGGAACATGAGTATCCAAGTAACTCTCCAAGTCGCTGCTTTTGATTCTCTGGGGGTAATGCTCAGCAGTGGAATTGTTGCATCATCTGGAATTTATATGTTAAAATGTTTGAGAAACCTCCATATCATTTTGGTTTCAATTTATCCACGTCCTTGTGCTCAGTCGCTCAGTCGTGTCTGACTCTTTGTGACCCCATGGACTGTAGCCCCCCAGGCTCCTCTGTCCATGGGATTCTCCAGGCAAGAATACTGGAGTATTTCTCCAAGGGATCTTCCCCATCCAGGGATCGAACTCCCATTTCCTGCATTGCAGGAGGATTCTTTACCACGGAGTCAACAGGGGGCTTCCAGCTCCTTGCCAACACTTATTTTCTGTTTTGGTTTTTTTTTTTTTTTAACGGATCATCCTACTGAATATGAAGTGTCTGGGTTCTTTTAAATAGCAACATTCTAAAATATAATTTTGTTTTTCAAAAACTTCGATACCCAAGTTTTAGACAATTGGAGAAGATAGAAGAATATAGTGAAATCAGTAGAATTTGCTACCTAAACTTTAAAGGTGGGTTGAAGTTTAAGGTACAGAAAGTGAAGCTAATCACTCTTCTTGCTGTGTGATCACGTTCATCACTGTTGCCTGTATTAATCTCAAGCTTTGAGTCCATTCCCCCCAGAGAGGAAGCCAGAGTCTGACAAATGTCATTTAAGCGTTTGTGGACATTCGTTGAACACTTGCTAAGGTCCACATGCTGACACATGTGGAGTGGGGCAGGGTGCCTGCTCTCTGGTATCATCTCCTGTCTTTGGAAGAAAGAAAGAAAAGAAAGAGAAGTCGCTCAGTCGTGTCCAACTCTTTGCGACCCCATGGACTGTAGCCCACCAGGTTCATCTGTCCATGGGATTCTCCAGGCAAGAATACTGGAGTGGTTGCCATTTCCTTTTCCAGGAGATCTTCCCGACCCAGGGATTGAACCCGGGTCTCCCGCATTGTAGGCAGACACTTTACCGTCTGAACCAGCAGGGAAGCCCCTGTCTTTGGAAACGCTGGCATTTAAAAGAGGCAGAGTAAAACTCTAGATTAATTTCTAAAGCATCAAAACAGTAAAGCGTGTCGATTTAGCAAAGCCTCACTTGCTTTTTGTTGTATTAGGTGCAAAGTTGAAGAGTTGCTTTTTCAGTCCTTGTTCCCCAGGTCCAAGGGGTCAAACAGCACTGAAAACAAGTATTCAAAACCCCAGGCTGCAGTCCTGTGGGATCCTGGCACAGGAGCTCGGGGTCTGATGGTTGGAGCACACCACAGGCTGTGATGGGAGCACCCAGGCTGGTGGCATGTGAGACAAGCTTGCCACCAGGCCCAAGTCATGTTATCCCACGTGGATGTGGGTCAAGAATGAGAAAACTGCTTTTGATTTATCTGCTAGGCGGCTTTTGGGGGGAGGGAAAATGATTTTACATAAAAACTCTAAACAGAAATTCACCAAAACTGATATTGGCAATTACATTATCTATTTTTTAAAGATCTTTCTAGATGTGGACCATTTTTGAGGTCGTTATTGAACCTGTTACAATACTGCTTTTGTTGTTTACATTCTGGTTTCTTGGCCCTGAGACATGTGGTCCATCTTAGCTCCCTGACCAGGCATGAACCCGCACACCCTGCATTGGAAGGTGAAGTCTTAACCACTGGACTGCCAGGGAATTTCCTAAATTATCTCTTGGTAGAGGGATTGATATGTTTCATAACTTCTTCATATTTTAGAATTTTGTAATGAACAGTACTAATTTTATAATCTCAAAAATATGCTGTTTTTAAGCATAAAATGAAATATCAAAAAAAGGCAGAATAATGAGATTATTATTGCTTCATTCAGAAAGATAATGGAAAATAGAATACTGGCAGGCTTAACATTCAGAAATGACCCTGGAGAGCCAGGATCACACACCACGCTTAATTCTGTCACAAACTGGGGACGGTCCTCGGCATTTTCTGTAATCCATCATAAACTCGAGGAAGAAAGGATCTGCAAGAATCCCTGTGATAGCGTGCTGGCCCTGCACACACTGTCTCAGGAAGAGGACAATGATGTGCTCAGACTCACTCAGAATCTATCTTTTTCCTTCTGTGTGAGCTGTCCTTCTATCTTGAAAGTTTTGAAAGTCTCAGGTAGGAAGTGGCATATGAGGGCAGATAAATGTTGAGTTGTAATTCCTACCTGTGACATTTTAATTCATAAAAAGAGAAAGATTTAATGCCTCTGATGGGAGCATGACACATTCTAAAACAAAGGAAGTCACTAAGACCTGAAGTAGACGTTGGAGGTTTGGTTGGTTTGACTGGGAGGAAGCTAATCTTCTAAAAGACATGCATGGCTGCTCTGAAATTCAACTTCCATGAGTATTTGTGGGTAGGTAGGGAGAGAGGTGGAAATTGTGTTTGGGGTATATATTCTTGTTTTTAATACAATTTCTTCTTCATCTTTTTTTTTTTTTTCCTATGCTCCTGAATTGAAATGTTCCTTCCTCAAATAAAACATGCTGTTTATCTATGGCCACACCTCATGGCCTGTGGGATCTTACTTCCCGAACCAGGGATCAAACTCATGGCCCCTGCAGAGGAAGCACAGAGACTTAACCACTGGACCACCAGGGAAGCCTCTAATGCAATTTCTTTATATGGGCCTCATGAGAAAGGGGCCTGATGGTCTGAAATCTCTAGACAAGAGAAGTGAATTGTTGATCCTGCAAGCTGCGGCTTGTGTTGGCAGGTGAATGAATGTGCTGCCGCAGGTGGGGGTCAGAAGCTTGCTGCGTCCCACACCCATTCCTGATTTGCAAGAAAAAAGCCAACCCAGAAGCTGGAAGGAATCCAGAAGACATGGACCAACCCACAGCTGCTCCCTAGAGAGAGGTGTGCCCGCTCGCTTCTCAGGCTTACTAAGTCTTAAGATTAATGAGGGGTTGCTGGCCCAGGAGGCTGTTCACGGAGGCAGGCTTGGTCCTAACCAGCAGCGTTGCCAGGCCGTCAGGACACACACACGGAGCAATCCCCTTGTGAAATCCCCTACATCACCTTTGCTGACTTAGAACTGTGTGGACCCTCTCGGTCTTTTCGGGCCAAAGGGACTCAGGACCAAACACTCCCAGGGAGATCTTCCTTTCCTCGTCACATCTTCAGAATAAATTGTGTGTGTGTATGCTTAGTCGGGTCTGACACTTTGTGACCCCCATGGAGCCCACCAGGCTCCTCTGTCCATGGGATTCTCCAGGCAAAAATACTGGGGTGGTAAAGTCAAAAGGGACCTTGAGATTAGCCAAATTAGCGAAAACATTCACCTTAATTTACTTTGAGGGGCTTCCCAGATGGCACTCGTGGTACAGAATCTGTCTGCCAATGCAGGAGAGACAGGTTTGTTCCCTAAGTCCGGAAGATCCCTTGGAGCAGGAAATGGCAACCCACTCCAAGCTTCGAGATGATTTGTTGTGTGTGTGTATGTGTGTTAGTTGCTCAGTCGTGTCTGACTCTTTGCCACCCATGGACTGCAGCCTGATGATTTGTTACACGGCCGCAAATAA